ATCTGTCTGTGTGTCCATTCGCCCATCTATCTATTCACCACTCCACGTACCACCATCTCGCATCTTTTCATCATATACCCCGCCGCGGTGGTCTAGTGGCTAAGGTACTCGGCTGCTGACCCGCAGGTCGCGGGTTCGAGTCCCGGCGGCGGCGGCTGTATTTCCGATGGAGGCGGAAATGTTGTAGGCCCGTGTGCTCAGATTTGAGTGCACGTTAAAGAACCCCAGGTGGTCGAAATTTCCGGAGCCCTCCACTACGGCGTCTCTCATAATCATATGGTAGTTTTGGGACGTTAAACCCCATATACCAACCATCTTTTCATCATATATTGCCCATATAGAAGCACAGCCATCCAGAGGACATTTCAAAGACTAAACGAGAAGTGGCACACGCACACTTTCTTACGGCTTGCGCTTCGGGTCTGCTTCCCACCTTTAACCACCTCGAGTTCATGGTATATACTAGTTCATTGTATTCATAGCACTGTGGCTCAACGTTCGCTAAACCTTTCTAAAACTAAGGAGATTACACCCAGCGAGTATAACGTAGCAACCTTTTCCTGTCAGATAGTGCTCAATGTACATGCCAATGGCCGCTAATGGGGATCGCAGTGTGCGCGTTAACTAAAAGCCGAATGATCCTGTCTCTCATTCCCCATTAGCAGCCATTGGCATGTACATTGAGCACTATTTTTATTGTTCAACAACGCACAGAAAAAATCTCTCACCGGCACCACCTTGGAGGTCAAAATGTTATACTTGTTACACACTACAACGGCTACGAGGGACGAACGGTTGCCGCTATAAGGAGCTTCTCCCCTAAAACACCCGCCCCACTGGCGAAGCAGTTTTCGTTCCGTGTCGCCTCAACATGAAGTATGCGAAGTATAAGCACACACAAGAATATGACCTGTCTTCTCATGTCTGTCGAGGTAGCCCACGCCATTTTCATCCTTTACCACTTTCTGCCCGAACCATGCACCCCCTTCTCCGGCACCCCTTCATGTTCCTTTGCCCTATGAAGCCGGCCACTGTGTTTCATCTCTGATTGACCCACGCCCATTTACAGCCTTCAGAAATGACGTGAAGAGCGATGTAATGAATTTGTACTTTAGGGGGAACATGACAGCGAGGACACAATAATAAGTCTTGAAGGACCGCGTAATTGCTATCGTTATAAAATGCAAGTTCACATGACAATTATTGTCGTTTATACAATTTCTGAACAAAACGCGTATCTCACTGACACCTATTTTTCACTTGAACCAACTCGTCTATACATCGCCGGTGCGCTAAATGACTCAGCGTCTTTTAAACGCATGAAGTTTGTTCTGCTCTGCAGATCTAACCGGTCGTTCTTTTCTATGTAACGATCTATTTTAACCTAATTATATTTCATAGTTGTATCTGTCGATCTGAGGCCCTTCTGCAAACAAAGCATTGATATGCACGTTTTCGCGACAGAAAACTGCACACCGATTGAGGATTGTTTTCTTATTGTGTATGACTGGCACTGTCTCGGAAGAAAGTATGATTCTGTGGTACCTATGGGATGATAGAGAAGAAAGCTAGTGAGGTAGCCCGCACATCGCTAGATTTATCAATACTTTAGGTTCTTCCAGAGGTAGAATATTTCAGTGCAATCAGATACAGAAAATGAGAAATTCTCACTGATAGGATGCAACCACTACCAAAATAGACGTGGATATAAACCACCAAAACCTTCCATGGAAGGCTCAATGAAGCCAATCTCGACAAGCACAAGTTACAATAACCAGATTTCAGTGCCGCGTTTCCTTATTAAACTTATACGTACACGGGGCTGGTCTGACGATATCACCCCTCTGCCAATTCTGCGGTGAATCAGAAAATATTGCACACTACTTTTTGTCATATCGCCGTTATTCCAATGTTAGAACACGATTTCTCATTAGTCCGCTTTCAAAAATACGATTAGCCCTAACTGAAGAAATAGTATTAAGCTTCGGCGCCTCAGGTTTGGAATACTGCTTCAGGATGTCTTTGATTCCGTGTGTCATCATCATCATCATCATCATCATCATCATCATCAGCCTACTACGTCCACTGCAGGACAATGGCCTCTCTCATGCTCCGCCAGTTAACTCGGTCCTGTATATGATCTATCTATCTATCTATCTATCTATCTATCTATCTATCTGTCTATCTATCTATCTATCTGTCTATCTATTTATCTATCTGTCTATCTATCTATCTATCTATCTATCTATCTATCTATCTATCTATCTATCTATCTATCTATCTATCTATGTAGCCGCCTACGACATTTACCTCTCCTGGCTGTTTCGATAATGCTATCGATACCGAACTTGGTATGGCACAACATGACTGTATAAAGAATATACTTACTTAGTCATAACACAAAAATGATGACATGTATGTCATGAATGTCATGATTTACATGTCATGGTCCTGCAGCTCTAGCGGTGGTATCATTCACATGGCATGTTGCAAAACTGGTATGGTATGACATGATTGCATGGCGAACACAAACGACAGACCCTAAATTGAAAATCACGACACGCGTGTCATGTAACAACATGACTACATTGCACGCTCATGATGCTGTCGAGGCCGTTTCGCTAGCATCACATATACCAAATTTGGTATTACAGTACATGATTAGATGACGAAGGTATTTGGCTGGCGCAAACATGATAATCATGTGATGCGTATCATGTAACAACTTGACTACATGCCACGCTCATGATGCGCTGGCAGCCATTCTGCTAGCTTTACTTATACCAAATTTGGTATTACAGGACGTGAATCGCTGAAGAAAATATGATACTAGTGCAAACATGGCAAACATGAGATGCGTGTCATGTAACAACATGACTACAAGCTACGCTCGTGATGCGCTCGCGGCCGTTTCGCTAGCTTCACATGTACCAAACTCGGTAATACGCGATGCGAACGGACGAAATAAGTAAATGACACATCCAAACATAATAATGACGACATGCGTGTCATGTAACAACATGACTACATGCCACACTCATGTGCACTCGCGGTCATTTCGCTAACTTCACATGTGTCAAATTTGGTATTACGCTGTGACAATGAATGATGCAGGTATGCGACTGGTACAAGCATGATAATCATGAGATGCGTGTCATGTGGGAACATGACTACATGCCACAGTCAACGCGCCAATACATTTGGACGTGACGCGTTGCGCGGGCTAGCTGGCATTCATTTCGTCACGAAAAGAGGGAGACGCAGTGTTTGTTGTCTTGGTAACGTATCGGCACGAAATGCGGCATGTCGAATTTCGCACCGGTTGTCGTCGGGCCGTGCCGATCGAAGCTGTTCGTGCAGGTCGCGCCTGGCGTCAGACTATAGAGTGCTCGCGTTTTGCTTACGTAGCGTCGCTGTGCCCAGTCTGTGCGCGCATCAACGCTACGTTGGAGTATATTGGGCCCTTCATGATGCCCTCGCTGCCGTTTTACTAACTCCACAAATACCAACTTTGGTGTTACGTGACGTCAATGAATGACGAAAGTATATGACAGGTGCAAAAATAATAATCCTGACACGCGTGTCATGTAAGAACATGACAACATACCACGCTCATAGCGTGCTCTCGGCCGTTTCGCTAGCTCCACATATACTAAATTTGGTATCACGTGACGTTATTAGATCATGAAAGTGAACGACACATACAAACATGATAATCATGACACGGAAGTCAAGTACAGCATCATTTACTTCCACCTCGTAACGTTCTGCTGACTTTAAAGTGACATATAAGCATTTGTCATTCGTGCTTCGCATATCATTGTTTCCCACTGTACGTGGAATGTGCCCATGTTTGATATCGTTTTTTTTAATGCAATCCTGTCTCTCCCTTTGCCTCACCGAAGCCATTCAAGGGCATAAAATGTGGATAGAGACGTGTTAACAGCAACAACAGCAAAAGTGAAGCCAGCTTTTGCCGACCAAACATTTCAGAAATATGCTCTATACTGGTAGTGCCCACTTGTAGATCAAGGACTTTCATCTGTTAATGCAAATGCTACGTTAATTGTGTTATAAAAGGCAGTTGTTCGTGACGAAATAAGTCCCGAAAACGAGTATGGATGACTGAATATTCATTAAACATTGCCTCCAATTAGAGGCTTACCAAAAAAAAGTAGCAGCACTAAGACGCACTTGGAGCATGACTTAACTCCTGGACAATGATTCTGTATTCAGCAATTTTGTAAACCCCCATGGAGGCCACTGTATAGCATAACCTACTGCGACTATCTTCGGCAGGGGACGACTTGAGGCCATCCCATCGTAGAGTACGCAGTACTCTAAATCGTTTACTATTTTCTCTATCCAGCATAATTTTGTTGATGTGTCCTCATCAAGTGTAAGGCCCAAGGGACGGCTTTCAGCTCTCCCATAGTAGAATACCGAGTACCAAAAATCGTTAACCACATTTTCCAAACACGCACATCAGGGGACGGATTTATGCTCTCCCATAGTACAGTACCGAATACTCAAAACCGTTAACCACATTTTCTGAACGAGATACTAACTATGCGGGACCCTGTCACCCTGGTGATACGGGCCTGGCTTAGACCTACAACTTAGTTTGTCCTTGAAACCCCGCTTTCCGTAAATGGAAAGAGAGAGAGAATAAACCAGTCGAACTCCCCACGCACTGAAAACGAAGATGCCCGTTTCTTTCTTGAGTAACGTAAAAGATCTGTTAAGCCCGATTGTCTCACCGAGGCTTCCGTACCCGCAATCGGTATATTGTTCCCTAGTTCCTAATGGGTTGCGTGTCATAGGTGACCAATTAGGGGACCAATCAATTATCGAACCGTAGTGCGGGTGAACCCCCTGCAGCGGCTGATTTCTATTTCCGCGCCGCTCCGGTGGAGAAGTCGGGCCCTTGCGAAGGGGGTCAAATGCAGGCAGCATTGCGAGGGTCACCCCCCGACAGGCATGGAGCACCCTTCCCCGCTGGCTAGCGCCGAGCCAGGCAGGCAAACCGGTCTTTCTTCTTCCACGACTCCCGTGCGCCCCGCTCCACACAGCGCCCTTCCAGGCCACCGCCGCTGACGCCGACGTGGAGGAACGCCTCACAGCTTTCACGGAGAAAGCTTGGACATTTCCCCCCCAAACCACCACCACCTGCAACTCTTCTGCTCACGAGTGAGTGGCAACAAGTGACATGTGAGGAGTGTCGGGAGACCAAGGCCCTGACGACGATGTCGACGACGTGAACTACTCGTCGGGCAAGCTAAGCTTTGTATCGCGGGGGTCTTCCTGCACGGCAACGTGACAAGGCGGTGTCAACGGACTTCTCGATTCTGAGAGAACGCCGGAGGGTCGTCGGACATGGCCATGTTTTATTCGGGCACCTCGATGCGCCGGCTAGGCCTCGCTCCGCTGTCAGTGGCGGTGGCAGTGCTTGCAGTGGTTCTGCTTCCTTCACTGGCTGAAGGCCGTGAGTATACATTCGGCAATCATAACTGTTCTCTTCGTGTGCCGCTTGGTTGTGCAGTTAGCCCAACGAAAATGTTTTCACTTTTTTTGTTTCCGAATACGATGTCTTACGTCACTACGGAAGTCAGCACAAGTTATGCTTTTGTTTAGCTTGGTGATTCTGTTACGGTATTTCTGCAAACACGAACGTCAGATGTTAAAATGGTGTTATGGTTCTGCTACGGGGACACGTTGTGACTGTACGCTTCACTCCAAAATGTTTCCTGCGCCTACAGTACATTGTAGTTTTTCTCTACAGAGGTGCGATGCAGATTGAACAATCAATGTGTTGTATTGCTGTACACGTATTTTTGCTGTGTGCGTATGTTTTCTTAGTGTGGCTTCATATGCGCGATCATTTCATTCGCTCAGCTTCTTGCACCTATTCATTCGTCTGTTCGATTATTTACTAATGGCCCATAGAAGTTCGCATTGCCCGACAACTGAATCAAATTTCGTGTTGCGTACGTAACATCGTAACAAACTTAACATCGTATTATGCTGGGATTGGCTGCAAGAAAGATTGAACCCTGAAACATATTTTGTTAGTGAGATTATGATACTGAGGGTGATGGGATAGATGATTTTTTTTTTTACGCTTGACGCACTCCTAGCAACGAAGAAAAATTAGTCACTATCGTACCAGCTGTGTTTATCGCTCCTTGTAAATACGTTTTTAAGTGATATTCAGGGATGGTTTGTAATCGAGCAGCCACGTATGGATACATGAATGAACTTCATTGGGCCCTTCAGAACGCGCTTTCGCATGTTGGAGGCTGCTCCCAAGTACGAAAAAAAAAATGTTCTTAAAAATATATAAAATAGCAAAGTTATCTGTGTCATATGGTTCCCTGTCCTAGTGAGGTTTCAAAAACTTACAAGTAAGCGACCGAGAAAAAAACAATACACGGCTATTGAAAATTTCGGCGTATTCTTCGTCCATGCAATGTTTACGCACCGTTCTGTGGTGAACACTGCCACGTTAGCGATCGATATTTCTTTTATAAGATTAATAACGCCGTTTGTATGTCTAATATGCAGTCATGCTGCAAACACAGGGTAGTTTCAGTATACGAAATCTAGGCTGGTATTCTATTAACATCCCGATCAACAGAATAATATTTTAATCTCACCTACTACGTGAGACAAAAGATAATCAGGAATACAAAAACAAGCTTACTGAACGCAAGTTTTGACATAACTTTGTCCTGCTAAAAAGTATATGGTTGTGCGGTCATTTTTTATCTTATTAGCCTAATGTTTTCTTCACTTGATTGAGACCGAGTAATTGGAGTTGAAGTGATCATCCTAAAAGCGTGCGTAGCATAGTTCGCTGAAGTGACGTTTGGGTACTCGAAAAAACGTTACTGATGACACTTAAGTAGTGTTCACCGGACTTTCAACTGTAGCTATTCATTAGACGGCTGCAAGTCCAATGACTTAAGAAGAATAAGAGTGATCGCGTGGAAATGTTATGTGAACGTGGGGAGTTACAGTGGAACGCCCCGCAACCAGAATATGCGGGGACTGACCATGGCCAGCCGCCGACCGCGAAAGTGGACGACAGAGAGATATTTCTGTTGCTGAGCACCCTGATCATCGTTGTGCCATCGACGTCTTCGACTCACAGATGCTTCTAATGTTATGCCCATAAAAGCACCGCTATATACTTTTTTGGCTTAGTGCCTGGCTGGAGCAGTTCCAAGTGACCGTAAGCTTTCACGAACTTCCGTCTCTATGTCAGCTGCTATCCTTGCTAGTTGACTGCTTGACGGGAAGGACGCACAGTTCTCGCTGCAGCTTTCGAACGCAGCAAAGTGTGCGCTAACTGACCGCGGCAAAGAAAAAGGGGGGGGGGGGGGGGGGCTTTGCTATTTACGGAGACAAACGCTAGCTCTGTGTACTCCGCGCAGGGAAAGTAGGTCGTAGACAACCTTCTTATTTGGCGTTCCGGTCCCCATTCTTTAAGAAAATAAGCGCAGGAGGTCTTACAATTGGCCTGGAGGTGCCAAAATGTGGGAGGCTGTTTAGAAAGAGCTAATTTTGTTGCGGATAAGCGAGCTGCTATAAAAAGCAGCACCTTGAAAAGCGTGTGCGAGCTATATATGGAGCAACTAGGTAGACCTTGGGTATAGCAATGCAACTACTGAACTTCCCGCTTGATCGGAGCCCATTTCGCAGAATTTGTCGAAAGTGCGCACTACTTCGTGAAACCTATTCTCCGACGCTTCCTATGAACGGTTTCAAGATTGAAAGCGTTGTACCCCTAAAAATTCCCGGTCACCTCATTTACCAGCTCCTAACGTCGAAACTGAAAGCATGTTTCCAAGTTGTTTTCTAGAGTAATGAAAGTCTCTCTTTAGCTTTTCAGATAAAAGGAACGTGCGCAAAGTACAGAGGAATCCTATTATAGTTTTGGTGTAGCTCAAAAGAACATTTATTTGAATAGATTTTTCAATATTGTGGAAGTAAAGTGTAGAAAATGAGCAGGCTATTTTCTAAAGCACTTCCTGCTAACCTATGCGTAACATAACCTATGCTATCCTATATAACATGGCACATTGCTGGACGAAACCGGATGTCATCAAGGGTCTGTGCTTGTAAACAGTGATAGAGTTTAAGCGTAACAATCATGAGACATAATTTTTTTTTGTCCTCACTATAACCAAGCTTACAAGTGACGAGGTACAACAAAAGCTTATTAACGCTATGATCGCAGGTTTCATTCTGCACTATCTGTATGCCACGCCGTGAGAATGTTATTGAAATTTATCTTTCTCCGAATTATTTGGGAATATCTGTGGGTACCATATTCAGAGCCAACGTGATTGATTGTTTGATTGATTGATTGATTGATTGATATCTAGGGTTTAATGTCCCAAAACCACCATATGATTATGAGAGATGCCGTAGTGGAAGGCTCCGGAAAGTTTGACCTCCTTGGGTTCTTTAACGTGCACCCAAATCTGAGCACACGGGCCTACAGCATTTTTGCCTCCATTGAAAACGCAGCCGCCGCAGCCGGTATTCAATCCCGCGACCTGAGGGTCAGCGGCCGAGTACCTTAGCCACTAGACCACCGCGACGGCGCTCAGAGCCAACATGATAAATGAGTCTGTATCAACAAGAAACATTAGCATCTTTTTTTATAACAGCGCCATGGAGCAACAGTGCATGACGAATCATGGGATGCAACATTATTTTGCAGTCTAGCCGGATGATGATGATTTCGTATAGATGATGCTCACCCACAAAGGAGGATGGGCCAAGAACCACCAAAGCAGGCTGTAGAGGTGCTGTTTCTTATTCAGCGCAGTATTCCTTAAACGCAAAAAAAACACTACTGTTTCCTCATGTAGTGTAGCGCAGTTAAATGGCTTAGTCCCGGTGAAAGCACAATTTAAAGTTCATTCTTAGAAGTTAGCGAAAAGCATATGTCCCCTGAAATTAAAGTATCTTCGCGTGGATTTAGCATCATCGTTCTCTATTTCACTGCTTGACGCTTATGTAAACATTGTAATGCATGCTACCCTGCCGCTGTCGTCTAGTGACTAAGGTATCAGCTCTTGACCCGCAGGTCGCGGGAACAAATCCCAGCTGCGGCGGCTGCATTTTTGATGGAGGTGGAAATCCTGTAAGCCCCTGTGCTCAGCTTTGGGTGCACGGTAAAGAACCCCAGGTTCTCGAAATTTCTGGAGCCCCCCACTACAGCGTCTCTCATAATCTTATGGTGGTTTTTGAACGTCTATCCCCACATATCTTTCTCTAATCCATGATATTATTACTAACCCCTGCACCCCTCACGGCCGTTCACTTGATGCGTTCGTCTCAAACCATGTGAACCAACAACCACCATATTTATTTTAAGGGCGAAGCTCCTTGAGGCGTGGGTCTGTACAACCTTGACGAATGTAGTTGTAGGTAGCCACCCCTAGTAGTTCAGTTCTTGGAGTGTTCGCATTATGACGTAACTGGTATATAATGAGAAGATGTGATATATAATGAGAAGATGTGATATACTATAAAACTAGCCGGCAGTACTTGTTCAGTCAGCAAGTGCGGACGGACGAACAGACAGACGGACAAATGGATGGATGGATGATTCACGCTTTACCGATAAAGCCCTCCGAAGCTTCGCCCTTCATCATCCTTCACTCGATGGTTATGCTGTGACTTTTTCACTATGAACATCACATTGAAATCAAGCCTACGGCTTCTTCTTGCATTCCAAAAGGCTTGCTATATATCAAAGGCGATTCCCCTTGATAAGTGCTCGTCTTGTGAGAACGTTCACTTGTGCTTCGCCTATTTTTGTGTGTGTGCGATTTTCCCCTTGCTTTATGAAGGCACCGTCATGGGCTCGGACATTCTGAGCCTCTCGCAAACCACTCTCTTGCAGGTCGCACATCGCACTGTTACGTGTGCCGCTCCAGGAGCCAGCTGGGCGACTGTCGGGACCCATTCCCCTACAACGAGACCACGGTCGAAGGCGTGCGAGGGGTCGAGGCCTCGCCTTGCGCCTCCAAGTGGTGCGGCAAGCTTGTCGAAGGAAGGGACGACGGTGAGTGATGCAGTTTTGGTGTCACAAATTTCTGATAGTCAATTTCCCTTCTCTCAGTGACTGTTGTGGGTCTTTAATGGCATTGTGCAATACGCATCTATCGCTCATACAACAGCGCGACCTCACGGAACGATAGTATAGTACTGGCTCACCTTGGCAGCTGTGGCGCGACCGCGTCTTGATGTAACCAGAGGTCAGCTAAGCACAGTAAGCTACCTTTGTAACAGGACGTTCCACCTATGCAATAAAGAAGCTTTGATGACGGCTGTTTCATCTCTATAGAAAAAAAATGCAGTGTGCGCAGTATCCTTTGCGAGCAAAAAAAAATCACCCATGACACCTGTGACAGGGAACCCCATCATGAATAGCATTGCGTGTACCGAGAAAAGGGGCGAAACAAACCTGACGATTATAAAACATAGCCCAGAAGAGCATTTGGGCTTGAAGCCTAAATGCCGTCCAGAAGGGTTGAATAGCCTAGAAGGATTGAATAGCCCAGACCATTGCCTAATCAGCAACTTCATTTATTTGGAATCTTTATGTTTCTTTGCAGATTTCGAACACTCTAGTAAGAAAAGAACTATACATGCCCTAGCATGCAAAAACACTCTTGCAGGTTTGCTACAACTCAAGTAGTGGCTAATAAGGTTAGCCTCTGCCGTGAATGGCCCTGAAGCACATCACGTTTAAGCTGATCCATACTTCAAACGTTTGTCAAATCTCCGCTTGATATCGGGAAGCTTCAGAGACGCCGGCGTTGTGATTGTTTGGCCAGCCGTCATAATATTTGAAACTTGCCATATTGAACACCTACCCCATCTTATTATGAACGGTGACCGGCCAACCTTGGCGTACCATATTTAGTCGCATACAACGAGCACTGCTAATATGACTCATAAATGACTGCTAGTGTGAACTTACTCTGGGCAGATGTTGACTAGTGCAATGTGTTGACTAAACTATGGTCAGTGTTGTATGACGGCTGCATGATGACAAGCTAGCAGCTTCCTGTCAAACTAATATATTTTAAAAGTTTACTGAACAACGATATTCAAGCATTGATTATGAGTAGTGTCAGCATATCTGAGTTATCTGTTATAGCGGCCATATTGTCTTGACATTCATTGTCCCTGTCTACTGTTTTCACAGCCTTATTCCCTTCATCCAGGCTCAAATGATATTTCGCATATACAAAAACAACTCAAGATTCTACTGCCCGACTTGTTCTCTACAGATTTCGACCTAGCCACGGAGCGGATGTGTTTGCAGCGACCCCCCGACGACCAGGAGGAGCGGTGCGCAGAGACTCTTTACCAAAACAGACGCGTCTACATGTGCTTCTGCCGGGGAGACCTGTGCAACGGGGCCCACAAAACGGCAACCACCGGTACCGCGGCCATCGCTCTTGCGCTCGCAGCAACCTGGGTCATCAACTGCGCGTTACCATTGTGACGAAGGCAGACCTCGCAGGACTTAGAAGGGCGCAAGTACTTCAGAGAGGTCAGCTGAGCCTGGACACAGTTAAGCATCGAATACTTTATACGTGCTCGGAAGTTGTGTACGGCCACGGACAATTCAAATACGAATAGGTTAGGACCTAGCTAAACGTTTCTTTGACCTAGTTGGTTCATGGCTTCTGAAGAAAAAAAAAATTGCAGCGCGAAGCAACGCAAGGACATGCCTGTGTTCTTTGTCTGTCCTTTCATGACCTTTCGCTACATTTTTTTTGTCTAATGTTAAAAAAAGACTAGAACACTTTTTTGCGTCAATTTGGTTTCACCAGTACACTTAACGTCGTCTTGATTTCACTTTGCGCACTTAGTGTGGGACCCAAAGAATGATGAAATCCACATCATAATAGCCTATGCGAGATAATGCTTTTATGTTTTTATTGGTTGGTTGTTCCACATCGGTACTGTTTGTTCATGTTTAAGTTGTCCTTGACTGTACTGGCAACGTCCACTTTCCATATAATGTGGCACAAACACTAGATGTCTAAAAACGGGCTTTGTTCAACACTCATTGTCATTAGATCGTGTCTGGTACACACATGCCACAGAGTCAAGACAGCAACCAGACTTAGAGTGAGCGCGCCAAATTTCTGGCCTCATTTGCAAGAATTTGCTGTACAGACACACAATGTTTGTGTGTGATGCAATGCTGACTGTGTTCACTACCGTAATTGAATACAAACAAGGTATAGCGGAGTAAAAAAAAACCTTTGCGTTAATGACACTGAACACTACGTTGCACTGCTTATGAGATATTGTGGTCTTCTTCTATACCTCATGATTTCCGAGATACTACTATTAAATATATAACTAACACTATACGTGTAGAACACGACATGCAAAGTACTCGATATAGTGAGAGTGTTTTCATATCGTCAGATGAGCGCAAAGCTCACATATGCTCAGAACATACCAGCGTAACTGCTACACAGCGGTCCATCACTGCCATCAGTTTCTCACGTTTGGAGAACATCGTTATAATGTATTTGTTGTTTTGATATTATCGCGTACTCTAATCTTTGTTGTATCTGAAAGATTAAAATGTTTGTTGTAAGAAAACTTTTGTCGTTACTACAGAATTTATGTTATGGTGCTTGCGTATCAAAGCGCAGTACACTGGTAAGGCACACCATATACAGCAGAATATTCCGTAATATGTGGAGCAAGCATCCTCCCCCCCATCCGCCCCTTGTCCCCTGAGATGAAAGAAAATTTAACCAGATTTAGAGAGTGGCGCTTGCTCGGGCCCGGACCGAAATTCCAGGCGGCGATAGGAGAAGCGCTAATTATAAATAAATGACCAGTTATATTTCTAATGAAAAGCTTCACTTATTTACATTACAAAAAAGTTTTCTAAAAAAAAACATTACATAGGCATTCAATGTACCAATTCTTGTGCTTCTTTTTACGCAAGCGATGCTCATCCTGAAAGAAAAAAAAAGTTGCCAGAGGGGAAGAAGCGGGAAGGAGGGTGGCTTGCTCGTTCATTCACTCTTACTTTAAATCTCCTGAAAAAGGAAGGAAGGCGCTTGGTTGGCGTTTTACGGTAGCTATCACCCTGATATAAGAGTCTTCCGTTTATAGCAAACTGATAACGAACTCTGGTTGGTCACGCTTTCTTTCAGTTGCATTATTTATTTACAACGAACCCAAATTCGACAGCCGCCTGGATGTCGGCTGCAATTTAACGACCAAATATTTGGCTCGGGCGAAGCTCGAAATTGGACAGGTAACATAAAAAGTAAATGAATATCGAAATTGATAGCCCAACCGCTTTTTTTCTGAAGGGATACGAAGAGAAACAATAAATCGGTTGAAATTGGTAAATGTTACTCTGCAGACTTCAATGTCCCTAATGCCACCATCTTCAACAACAGAGGAGAAAGTGAAGGTCACAGCCTCATTTTTTCGTTTCGCGCCAAAATCTCTACGCGTGACGTCACGGATTTCAAAGCGCTTTTTTCATACCCTGGTGACAATAGACAGACAGACAATGAACTCTGCCGAGGTCCTGAGGGGCGACTAGGAAAGCCGCCTAGGGCAGCTCCCACGTCGGAGCAGGCAGGCGGTGCCTGGATGGATGGATGGATGGATGGATGGATGTGGCTGTACCCTTTAGATCGGGCGGCGGCTAACGCCACCTAGCCGTAATACTTTGTGAACTAACCATTACATTTATCTTTTTTTTTTCCTTTAACTAATGAAGTTGAGGATTCGTACTTCACAGTGAAGGGTTTAATTTTCACTCGGTCCTTGACTTTAGCCACCAATCAGATAACCTCCTTCTAGTTAAGTCTACCCGCTTAAAGTCTATTTTGCCCTCGCTGTCCCTAAATCCCAGTGCTTTGAAAAACTCTGCGCCATCATCCTGAACTATAGGGTGAAGCCCTTTACAGAACATTATCAAGTGTTCGGCAGTTTCTTCTTCCTCTCCACACGCACTGCATACTGTGTCGACCCCTTCGTATTTGGCCCGATATGTCTTGGTTCGCAGTACTCCCGTCCTGGCCTCAAACAGTAGAGAACTACCCCGAGTATTATCATAGATCCTTTCCTTGGCAATTTCCTGCTTAAAAGTTCGATAGATCTCTAGTGCGGACTTCTTAATCATGCCCATTCTCCACATGTCAGTCTCCGTTTCCTTCACTTTTTTCTTAACCGATAGTTCTTTTTGGTTTGGCCACCTGCTGTTTTCTAAGTATTTACCAGTCAACTTCCTGGTTCGCTTCCTCCATTTTGAACTGAAAGATTTCAGTTCCGCCTGACCACCGTGTCGTGCGCCCTCTAGAGGCTGAACGGCGAGGTCGGAGCTCTTGAGCGCCTCCAGCCACTCTGCTTCTGTGGTGAGAATATCGTCGTGCCGCAACGAGGGACACTGCCAGAGCATGTGTTCTAAAGCGCAGAAGGGGTCTCCGCAATCTGGGCAATCAGGCTCGTAGGAGTCCGCATACCTGCTGACCCTGGCAAAGCTGGAGTAGGACCCAGTCTGGCGAATTCGCAGGGTGGAAGACTAAGGCCTACAAAGCTGATGCAACAAAATTTGCTGAAACTTGGTGTGTCAAGTATTTGGCTTCCACTGAAGGCAATGTACTTCATTTTTGCCGTTAGAAACGATGTATAGGTCCCAGTAGACGCCATGAAAATGTACGACGCCATAGTGATTCGTGAAGAAACTTGAAGGTGGCGCCGCCGCCGCATTTTATTATCGCGCGTTTTCCAGTTACCAAGCGTCCAGCTTATAGTGGCCCCGTGGTAAACATACCAATTTTGGTTTCGCGATAAAATACACAAAGGAGTACGAGAAAAGTCGCTTTTCTGTGCTGTTCTGTTGTAACTGTTTTGTTGGGCAGAGGTTGACTTTCACATTACCTCTTCTACTCCATATCGATAAGTTCTGCAATATAAATAAATAGATGAAAAGCAACGAAAGCTGCCCAAAAATAAACAATGAGCGAAAAAAACATAAATAGCACACTAAAACAGCTTGAAGTAACATGGAAATGTACAGTTTGCTTGTCGCAATTCACATTGAAAAAAAAACGTTCACACACACTTTTTTTTCACCGACAGTGTATGTACTAACACACATTTCCATACATCACCCTACGAAGCTATATCTCCCAAGTGCTCATACAGTCCGGTCTCCACTGAGAAGTCTATATCAGGAAGATTTTCGCTTTTTTTCTGAAAGTCCGTTTCAGGCCATGGTTGAAGAATTTTTTTATATGCGAGGGGCTGTCTCTCTAAGCTTGCTAGTTTCTTTCTCAATTTTTCTCTTTCATTGGCATACTTTGCGTCCTTCGAAAAAATGTGATGAACACTGTCATATTCGTGACCACAGTGGCATTCCGGTATATTCACACAGCGCTGGTCTAGCAGCCTCTCCTCATTGTCCTGTTTGGGGAGTAAATGAGTCAACTGAACATTACCTCATTTCCTGTAATAGATTCTCTGCATTACGCAAAAACACTTCAGGTGCCGTTTGCCGCCTTCTTGAAATAAACTTAAATGCGCAAAATGTACTTTTTTTCGGGGCTTTGTCTCTTGGCCACATCGACGAGAAGAGTGATGATGCATTGCAGGAGTTCGTCAAAAGTTCAAAGACGTTTAAGTGTTGAAATCATTTTTTGGTAGATTTTATTACTCTTCTACATTAATTTTTAGTTCAAATGCACCACTTGTTTGCATTACACAACAATTTATTAACTATTCTACTATTAAATTCGTCCTGTTGCACCTTTCTTTTCCTTTCTCGTAAATAGATCAACCGTAACCTGTTATTAAGGAAGTAATTCATGAAAACTATCCAGTTCTTGGCCAATCCCCCAGCGTGAGTGTGCGCCACATCTTCAAGAAACTTGACTTCTCTCGACTTGCGCTGGATCGATTTATTTCGCGCAGTAAGATGTTTGTATGTGCTACTTCCAGTGGAAGGCTGGGGAGTACCGTCTGCAAGTGTCACGGGAGATCTGCCACTATTGAGAATTTTCTCTGTCGCTCTTTTCTTTAATGTCCCTCTAAATGCAAGGTTCTGTTAAAACCAACAAGACGAAGATCACATAATTCTTCAGATAAGGTTTAAAACAGGCCTGTATTGCTATACAGGACTTTTATACATTGGTGTTATACGGTAATTTCACCTTCTCATCTCCAGTACAAGTAGCTGGAAATGCCACAGACAGACAAAAACATTACCCTATTTATAGTGTGTTTGAAGCACAAAATAATGCATTTTTGTATTAAGTATTTTCGTGCAAGCCATTGTCGATTTCTTAGAGCAGATGTTACAAACAATATTAGATATAACGAAGTAATTTATGATACCTGTCTTGTAGCGAGGTTCGGCTGCATTTGACAACAACTATGGTCAGGATTTTCATTTTTTTTTTTTTGCCGTTTCGCCTTTAGGTACACGCTAACGTTCTTACGTTTCGCCTCCATTACAGCAATAAAACACACGATGGTTCCAAACACAACATTTATTGCATTCTGTGGAAGTCCCGTTTAACCATTTGACAACTGTTAGACACAAGGTTTATTACCCGAGCTCCGAGTAATAATATGGAAGGCACCAACTTTTGTAGAGATTCGTTGAAGACAATACGTACAAGGGCGAACAATAGTTTCCAGGATGCTATCCTATGGAATCATATGACAGCACGAGCCTGGAACTTTTGGACACCCCTGCACATCCAGAACGACTCGCGAAATTAGCAAACGTCCGCTATTGTACCGGCAAAAACCTTCACAGCTCCACTCAACTAGATGCTAATGTCAAAACTAACATGACTGTAGTTTATTTCAAGCGTTTTATAAGGACAGAGCTGCCTGTGATACTGAAGTACAATATATGCCAAACAAATGACTAAAAACTGAAATAGTCGTCTAGCGTACAATGCGCGTTCATGCCACCAAGCATGCAGACATATTACTCTTGCAAGCAATGTCTTGTTCGTGAGTCATTCTATTTACGTGACATGAAAGTTTTATTATAGAACAAAAAGGCTTTGCATCGCAGCTTGAGTCGAAGAAAAGCCCTATTTGCAATGCGTGATGTCATGAAAGACATTGTAATTACTTACTAAATATAGTAGGGAAACAGTTACGCGCTGCTTGTCAAAAAACAATAGTAATAAAATATGCAATGTTCTCAGTGATCGACGAAAGCAGTTTCTCTCATTAACATATTCAGACAACGTATCACCTGTGAGGTGGAGCCCGTACTATGAAGTGATTAATTCGAGAAAAGCATTGATTCTGACTGCTTTACCGAGCCCTTCAACAGCAGATTTTTGTAAACAGGCTTTTCGAAACTAATTGCAGCAGCCCATAACCAGAGTTGAGCACTAATAGACCCACATATTGAACAAAATATAATTTTACAAGAAGAGACGCATGTATCAGCCTCAATTTCGGCAGAAAAGATGGAGAGAAATAGAATCTAAAAATAAGATCTTTGATAGCCATCTTGTCCAAATTAAGAATGTCTAGTGATATGTCATCGTGTCTGATTAAATTAGGTGGAACCACGAAAGGTTATACTGTCCAAGTTTTACCAACTCGGCATCAATGAGATTTTCTACTTTTACATGCGTGAGTGGCGCTATGCATAAGGCCAATGATACATATATTGAACTGCTGCGTTTATCCCATGAAACGCCCATGAAAGTTTGTACCGCTTGTCTGTGTGGTCCGCACTGAACCACGTAAATATAAGTGAGCGTTCTTTACCAGGCCCATTAGATGGCCCCGGAGTAGCCACCGTGATGCCACATTGTAATGAATTACTTTTCCCTGGAACCCACAGTTCTCTGCAGGAGTGGCTTTGACCACATAGAATTCTCACGCAACAATATGTTGTACTCAATAGATTCTATATAGTTGTTTGGATGCCTATGTATAAAAAAAAAAGTTATGCAACGAAACAATTCTGCCGCGCATACTCAACATGACACTGTCAAGCGTACAAGAAGGCGTTCACTGAATGGTGACTGTAGTGTAAATGTAGGGTAGCCGCAGTAAATATAACCAAAAAAGAAGCCCTTGTTGAGATGAAGCCCCTTAGTATAAACGAAGACTCGGTCTTTTTCTTGTTTTCTCACGGTCGGATATCCCTCATATACACGAGTGCTAGGTGGTGCGCCAAAGGCATGAATCCCATTCCCGGTGTGTTTTCGTGACCCATTCGCTCCGGTTATATTCCGTGACTCCCGATAGCAATCGATGCTGCAATCAGAGTAGGAATGCTTCCCTTAGAAATTGCCATGACTCGTTCAAATTGTTAATACCTCGTGTAGGGCACAAGGTATTAAGATACAGGTATCAAGGCTCAAAGTATTAACTTATATCGCGTGTACGAAATAAACGGTACCCCGTGCATGAATGGTCTTTTCGCACGTGGGCAGTCTTCACATGGGCGCCGGCCTCGAAGACACACGTGTTGTAATTTTCGGTGGCCAAAATGTGACAAGTGCGCACCGAGCGACATCTGGTGTCGAAGCATACAAATGTTTCCCCCATAGAGAAACGCAAATGCAGGCCTCCGAGATTTCCTACCAGCATGCGGTGGACAATTGTGGACCCCAAGAGCCACCAGTTTTGATTTCGGCGATCTCCACTTGAGGTGCTGTTTGGACCAGGAAAAATCGAAAACATGGCGGGAAAGTGCACCACGCTGCGCTACTTGCAAGGGTGGCCCATCGGCACAGTCGGGGATATACTACCAAGGGGAAAAAATTATGCCGCATCCATCTGCGCACGCATTTGATCTATGGCGCCTGAGTCAGACAACATTTACAGCAATCGTTATGGCAGACACAGCCGTCACGTCTCGTGAGCACGTAGGTAAGTGGTCTCGGACATGTAGGGCGACTTTCGGAAAATCGGCTCGTCGTCCAGGTGGTCGACCAGCAGGTCGGCCTTGATTTCGAGCGTCACTTTGTGGAACTCCCGGACGTAGGTGAAGAAGAAGAGAACCACGCACAGGCCGAGGATCCACTCGAAGGTGGCCGCAGTCACGAGAAGTCCGAAACCCTGTAGAAAAAAAAAAAGGAAAAATTAAGTGTTGATCGATGAAGTGATTTGCTAATTATGGACGAAGCATGTCCTATATAGACCATAATGTCTACGTAGAAGATGCAGACTAGTATAACAGACGGACAGACGGGTGCATGGGAGGACGAATGGTCGGAGGGACAGATGCATGGATGGCCGGACGAACAGAGCATGGTCTTTTTTTAAACCACATGCGTACTAAGAACGCACGCTGTCCAATATTTCCAATGCATGCATGTATTTCAGTCTGACGGGAAGCAACGACAATGACGTCAACGGATATCGTGAAAAAATAAGGAGCTTTGCTCTTAAAATCAATCGAAGAAGAACAAGAAAAATCTTCATGAATGGACAAGCTATATTAAGCGAACAGCCGATTGGTTGAAAGAAAGGGCATCAGTCTGAGTGTACTGTAAATGTAATGTTTTCGAAATAACGATGGAAGCCAGCGCTAGGCAACGTTATCGAACGTTCGTGTTACGCCATGGATATGCGATAGGGTTCGAACAAAATCATGAGGTTTATTTAATCCCCTAGTGTAGAGTACTTACCGATTTTTTTAACCGGACATTTGGGGCTAAGTAACGCCCATACTTGTGTTTTCACCGCATTCAGTTAGGGTCATACCGTTGTAATTTCAACTTGAGCGCGTAGATCAGAGCTAACACTATCTTTAGAGGCAATAATCATCTGAACATGACGTGACTGTCTCGAGCATTCAAACATATGCCTTACAAGTCTTTAGAGTATAGATTGGGGAGCCTTCGTACGCGCTCGCCTACGTTGAGCCAGAGTGCACATGAAGACTCCCTCCACTAGATGATTTGATGCCACGTTCGAATCCGTGAGTACTGTTCACTGCTTCTTTATTAGCATTTCATACGATTCTTTCACCTGCAAAACTGTCGTATCTTTCTCTAGTTTTCAGATTCATCCACATTATATCGGAGATTCACTGTGGTCGAAACGAGTCTAAATTTCAGGCAATTATTTTCATGAGATTTGTTATGACTGTGCGATCAAAAGCGATAGCGAGATGAACAAATGTCGAAGCGAGGTCAAACTTAATTTTTCTAAACCAACAAACTACTAGTATGCCCAACAAACTAGTGGTATGCCAACGTTGGCAGCTGATTGTGCGATGCTTAAGCCCCATTTAGAATAAGCGCAGGCCACACCAATAGACTGTATGCACCGGGGAACGCAGAATCATTGGTGTGCAACTTTCACGCAAGTCGTTGGCGCCACATTCCGTTCTGAGCATCTAGCAAATGAGAACGTACTTATGATAAACATTCGGAGAATGGCAGCCTGGTTAAGGACAAGCAAACTAAAAAAAACCAAAAAACGTATGGATGCTTCACTACAGTTAAACCTGTTAGGAAGTGCATAACACGGTTACTCAGCGACTCCCGCTCGTCAAGTTCCCACTGCTTAGTTTACTCCAGCGCTAATGATGACAATATTCGAGGTAAGCATGGTAGGATTTCCAGAGCACGAGTAGAAGCGTGTTAGGGAAATTCGCAAACTCAGTCTACAATATGTGCGCTACTTTTTGCTTCGCTTTATTGACATCTGCTTTTTATGGCAGTTGAGATACGCGTCGTGTGCAGCGAGTTACGTCCGGTTCTTTCACCCATCAGATGCAGTGGCATCACACCGCCGTAACGTAGAGAAAAAGGTATTCGCTCCTTCAGGAGGGTGGTGGCGCCCTCTCTTACGCGGCACAGGAGTCAGCCACAGGTTTCCTGAACGTTTTTAGCTATTGTAGACATATTGTTCCGATTGCTTCTTAGTTACTTCTGTAAATTATCTTACTTTAGGCATTGATATTTCCTTCTAACCCGATTTTGAGCATTGATAGCATTATTATGGCCTTTGTGAGCACTTTACTCTGAGCATGATCATGTGACTTGAGATTCATGAATGGACGACAACATGGGTCCCTAAAGTTCTCCCACTGCAAAAAAAAAAAGTTTAGCCAAACTAACCTAACCAAAATTTAGTTTTTCTTTTGCTCATTTTACCTCGTGAACAAAGCTTCACGCAAAGCTTTGCACAAAACTAACAATGCCTCAACAACAGTTGGCAATAGCTATATGGAAAGGCCCATCCCCGGGCTCACGGCAGTCGGAAATATTGTTTTGCCAATCAAATCAGACGCTCAAAAAAAAAAGGGCTCAACAAAGGGTGAGCACTAACACTGTCTATACTCAGATTTTTTTTTTCGCCCCTAGGGACAACGTTTGCGTGCGTATCTTCAGAGGTGTTATCTTATTATTACCAATAACTGTTATAACTTATAAACATAAGGGTGGGGTTAGGGAAAGGGGATAATCATTTAAGAATGAAGTGGGTGTTGATGCCTTCCGACTCCGTCTCTTCAACCGGAAGAACCATCACGAACCTCGGGCCACTCTAATTATTGCCATTTTGCTTCAGACAGTGTACTTCCGGAAGTTCACTTGCAAATTTCAATCACAGATACATGAAGACCCAGTTACCCATAGATCACCCACAATGCACAATTATTTGGACTTCCTCGCAAACCACAGTCTCGTGGCACATCCAAGCTCGGCAAACAGCAAGAAAAAATTGCCCACGCCTTACAATACTGCACTTAAATTGAAAATATCGAAGAGTGTCATACCTCATCCGACGGAACCTTCATCCGTAGTGGATGGTCACGCACTTTTTCCTTCCAGATTGACTTGCCTACAGCGCCAATCGCGGCCACTGAAAGAGGAAAGTAAAGTATGCACTCAGAGCCACTTCACGCTCACGGCAAGTATTCATTCCAATAGTAAGGTACTACAGTTCTTTATGACACACCTTAGAATGCTTATGTTATACAAATTGCGACATTAGCAACAACTCTGCCCAAAACATTGGGCGTGATTAGTGCTGAACTAGTATCATACTTGGTCATGGGATCCCGAGTGAAGCTGCACCGCAAGAAGAAATGATTCTGGCGGTGAGTGCCCACCAATGAGGATTAAAAAAATTGCTGGGGTGGAAATCATCGCCTAGGAGTAAAGCCGTGCCTCTGGCAAGATGGTGGCTGCAGTGGCCATCTTACTAGGGGCATAATGAAGTATCACCGTTCTGTGATTAAGAACAGAGCGTTTCCTTCGCACGCCCGACGAGTGTAATGTGAAAACTTTTCCGGGTCACATAGTGACTCAAGTGCGTCTTATTGTTACTAGTTTTTATTTTTTTTTTAGTGTGCCTCCAATTAGAGGCAAAGTACTTGGGAAATGCAGTCATCCATACTCGTTTCTCTGTGTTATCTCGTTGGGAACAATTATCTTTTAATATGGAAATAACATAGAATGTACACTGACATATTAAAGCCACTTGATTTCTAAGTGGGCACTATCAGAAAAGAACATGTTCTCCACATCTTGGTAGTGGCAAAAGCTGGCTTCATTTCTGCTGGCAAGGCAATGCGGGAGCTTCCACTCCAGCAATTTTTTTAATCCTCCTTGGTGCCCACTAAACACTCGAGTAACCATAGCAAATGAGACGAGCATTAAAAGTCATAGCCCTAACGATAAACCATTCCTGCGGTGAAGGCCATTCACAATCACGTGAAACAATGATTCACATACATTTACGGAGGATATCAAAGAAAAATTATCAAACACTTGTTTTCTTTGTTATATACAACCCCATGAAACCATTAGACAAATGAAGACAAGTATTATTCAAGCGGAAGTATTGGCAGTACAGACTTACTGGATGTAGAGTACAGAAACAAGTGCACTGAGTGCTTTCAACCCTTCTGCCAAGGTAGGTGTTGGTAAGAGCTGTCTGATGTATATTCTATAATACTGTTACGCACAAGGAGGACCAGGACGTATATGGCTGAAGGGGGCCGTTGATTTTGGTCGCGAAGAGAAGCGCCGGAGCGGCCAACAGGTTGATGATCGCAGTGTCGTCGTCTTCTTTCTTCCTCCAGCTTGGGGCAGCCAGCATGTTCAGCCACCTTCGTTTTCTTCCAAGGCATGCGTAACATTCCTCCCCTCGCAGACGAAGCCCGCCGGGCGAGGTAACTGATTCAGCTTGGTGTGTACAACTTCAATCGAGTGACATGGACTGCTTGGGTTTTAGCGGCTCTTCTACCACTTCTCGTGAGGCGAGCTATTGTGTATGTGACTTCCGTGATTCTGTCGAGAACGACAAACGGTTCGGCAAATGTGGCCAAGAACTTTTGGCATCACCCGCGTCTTCGTACCGAAGTCCACAGCCACACTAAGTCGCCTGGATGGTAAGTTACAGGCCGGTGGCGGACGTCATAGCGTACTTTCGATTTTTCCTGTGATGCCAAAGTGCGTAGACAAGCAATACGACGCACCTCTTCTGCAAGGCAGAGGATTTCGGTGACTGAGAGGTTTTCGTGCGCCGAGAATGGCAAAACTGTGTCGAGTGTGTGCCGTGGCGGTCGTGCGTACATCAAGAAAAAGGGGCTATAGCCTGTTGTCTCGTGCTTAGCGGTGTTGAACGCGTACGTTGTAAATGGTAGCACGTCATCCCAGTTCTTGTGGTCGGATGCCACATACATAGAAAGCATATTAACAATTGTTCGGTTGGTGCGCTCCGTGAGCCCATTTGTTTGCGGATGATATGGCGACGAGTGACGAAGGCGGGACTCACTCAATCGAAGCAGCTCTTCTACTATATCTGCCGTAAATTGTCGCCCACGATCACTGATGAGCTTGTGAGGTGGGCCATGTCGGAGGATAATGTGCTGCAGCAGGAACACAGAGACGTCGCTGGCAGTTGCGGTTGGTATGGCCGCCGTCTCGCAGTAGCGCGTGAGGTAATGAACACATACAATTATCCAGCGATTGCCCTTAGCCGACTTTGGAAAAGGGCCCATGAGGTCAATGCCCACCTGTTGGAAAGGTGTGCTTGGAGGTGGCAAGGGCTGTAGAAGACCAGCCGGAGCAGTAGATTGGCATTTGTGGCGTTGACACTGCGTGCAGCTGGCCACATACGCCTCGACTGACTGTCGCATTCCTGGCTAATAAAAGCGTTTTTTAGCACGGTAAAGCGTCCGCGCAGAACCTAAATGTCCGGACGTAGGATCGTCGTGCATAGCACCTAAAATCGCTGTCTGAAGGCTTTCTGGCACTACCAGGAGGAAACGTGCGCTAGTGCTGGAAAAGTTCTTCTTATATAGGAGTCCGTTGCATACACAGAAATGGCATGCCGTAGGAGCTGCGCAAAGCGATGATAGCTTGGTGTCCTTTCGCTGTTCATCCTTGAAAGTACTGAGGTCGGGAAAATTTGGTGACACAGAAGCTACGAGGTGATCGAGGTCATCGGCATCACACTCTGTAGTGCTCAGTGGCATGCGCGAAAGGCAATCTGCGTCGGCATGTCATCGACCACTTTTGTACGAGACTATGAAGTTATACTCTTTGAGCCGAAGTGCCCAGCGCGCTAGACGGCCGCAAGGTTCCCGAATGTTGATGAGCCAACACAATGAGTGGTGGTCGGTGACGACTGTAAAAGGGCGTCCTTATAGGTAAGACCGAAACCGCTAAATCGCAAATACTACCACGAGGCATTCTTGTTCTGTGACAGTGTAATTCTGCTCGGGCCTACTCAAGGAGCGACTTGCGTATGCAATCACGTGCTCGCGGTTACCATAGCGTTGAACTAGGACGGCACCAATTCCTATGCCGCTGGCATGTGTGTGCAGTTCGGTTGGAGCTGATGGGTTGAAGTGTTGAAGAACAGGCCGCGACGTCAGGAGGAACTTCAGTTGACGAAAAGAGGAGTCGCACTCCGGAGTCCACTCGAAGGGAGTATTCTTCTGTAGCAAACATGTCAGCGGATACACGACCTCGGCAAATTTAGGTATAAAACGGCGAAAATAGGAGCAAAGTCCCAAAAAACTGCGGAGCTCCTTCACAGAGCGCGGCACATTGAACGTTTCAACGGCTGCTGTTTTCTGGGGATCTGGACGGATGCCCTCCTGATCGACTAGGTGTCCGAGAACAAGGGTTTGTCGGTCCCCGAAGTGGCATTTATTTGAGTTAAGAACAAGGCCAGCGTTTCTTATGCAAGTCAGTACAGTATCCAGACGTGAATTGTGTTCGCTGAAGGTGCGGCCAAAAATGACGACGTCGTCGAGATAGCACATGCAAATGCTCCACTTCAAGTCACGAAGAACAGTGTTCATAAATCGCACGAACCTCGCCGGCGCGTTGCACAGTCCAAATGGCATCACGTTGAATTCAAAAAGGCTGTCAGGGGTTACAAAGGCTGTCTTTTCTTTATTTTCAGGATGCATGGGAATTCGCCAGTAGCCCGATCTTAAGTCTACAGAGGAAAAGTAAGAGGCCGAATGCAGACAGTCTATGGCATTATCAATGCGTGGAAGTGGGTACACGTCTTTTTTTGTTACAGCATTCAATCGCCGATAATTGACACAAAATCTCTAGGATCCGTCTTTCTTTTTAACGAGAATTACTGGAGCTGCCCATGGACTTACCGACTCTTGAATGATACCGTTTTTAATCACTTCGTTCACCTGCTCATTAATAATCTGCCGCTTGGATGGTGAAACACGGTATGGCTTTTGTCTAATCGGATTGGCCAAACTCGTGTTGATAGTGTGACATGCCCGAGAAGCAGAAATTAGGGGCGCTTCGTCTTTCTGCGCAAAGTCGAATGCAGAGACGTGCTTCGAAAGTACATTGACCAATGTTCGGCGTTCACTTGTGCCTTAGTGACTTATTCACCATTGACAGAAGAGCCGTTTCAAAACCGTGACTACGATGCTCTTCCGGCGCATCTCTAAGCTCGGTCACCAGTAAGGCCTCGTGTTGTCCACTGACGACGGCTAACTTTAGACCATCTGGTAACATCACGTGTTCTGTAGAGCAATTGACAGTCCATAAACCAGCGCGTCCACATCTGATCGACACCACACAATGTGGGATCAACACATTCTTTTTCATGCAGTTGGTGTACACTGGTTCTACGTTGGCATCAAAGTTGGCGGAATAGCTGTCGCTGCAACCAACAGGTACACGAACGGTTGATAACGGTGGTATGATAGTGTCACCACAGACACACAATGCTGTCTCACCATCCACAGGGTTTTCCAAGAGTGCTGGCGGAACGTGATCACTCAAGACGTGATCGTGATCACTCCCTGTGCGGCAGTCGACAGTCGCACCACACTCCCTCAAAAAGTCCATACCCAAAATAACATCATGAGTCGCCTGCGGAATAATCACGAACTCCGTTGGGAAAACGCAGCCTCTGAGAAACACGTCAGCTTGATACACACCAACAGGATGCAGTGCCTCACCACTCACTCAGCAAAACTTCGAAGCTTGATTCCACTTAAATAAAACCTTCCGCCCCAAGGTATCTTTAAAAAACGCACTCATGACCGAAATGGTTGCCCCCGTATCTACCAAAGCCATCACAGACACATCGTCAACAAAAACAGTACTTTGTTCTTGAGCATCAACAGAGGAGGTATTTCTGATATTAGCACGTCTCCGGTGACCTCACCTCCATCGGCCGCGCTTGCTAGTTTTCCTGTGGCAAAGGAGACGTGTTGCGACGTCGTGGTGAAGGAGAATGGGGAACACGAGGCGGAGGAGGCGTCAAGCTCCTGTCAGATGTAGGGGAGTGGTTCCGAAAGCTGCGGGTCCAGTAGTCGTCGCGAGGCAGCAGGTGTGTTGCCTTAGGGTCGTCGTACGGTCGATCAGACGATCGTGTGAAGTGTTGTGGTGGGCCATAGTACGTTGCTCGCGGGTCATCGCGAAGTCGTTCGGAAGGCCGTGCAAAGTGTGGTGGGTAGCCATACCGTGGGGCTACACGTCGACGGTTGCAAAATCGCGAAATATGTCCTGGTACACCACAGGAGTAAAAACTGTGAGAGGTCGAAACTCTCTTTGTTCGTCGATGAATCGAACATCGTCTTCCCTGGCGTAGTGGGTCGGTTCATTCCGTATATCATAGGGATAGACCGGGCGTCGCGAAGAAGGCGGACGCTGGGGGCGTCGGTCATGGCGAGGAGCTGGCAAGCGTGGTGCTCTCCTTGGCTGTGGGGGTGCGCTGTACTCAACAGCTGCTGCACTAACCATCGATTTCCAAGGGGTCGTAGAAGGCGGCGGTGCAGTCACAGCCTCACGTGACACATCTATCGAATGTTGGTCATTTACAGAATGGTGATCAACTGCTGAATGCGTCTGTTCTCTATAGCGAAAAAGTTCTTCGCGAACAATCTCTCGAATCGTTGAGGACAGGTCTGGGCAGGTGCTTGTGTCGATGCTGGCAACCATTGGAACATTTGTGAGCCGGCCGAACTTTGGAGCAATCCTGCGCATTTTCAGCTGTTCAAAAGTTCGGCAATGCCGAATCACGTCGGACACCGAGCTCAGGTGCTCTTTTCCGATGAGAAAATTATAGACATCTTCGGCTATGCCTTTCAGCAAATGCCCTACTTTGTCGTCTTCTGACATCTGATCATTGACCACCTTGCAGAGCTTCAGCACATCCTCTATATACGTGGTACATGTCTCACCTGGAAGCTGCGCGCGTTGAGACGATGTCTGCTCTGCCCGCTTCCTTTTGATGCTCGAGTCGCCGAAACACACTTTCAGCTCTGCAACAAAAACGTCCCACGTCGGCAGTGTGTCCTCGTGCCCAGACAACACAAACACAACCTCAGGACATCCTCAGTATGCCTTCGTGAGGACAATATGACGCCCTCAGATTGTCCTCTTAAGGTACTAGAAAGGCACTAAACCCGTCCCCTTGTCCATACACATAACAACCTCAGCACATCCTCAAAACAACAATTCAGGACTTTTCAGTATATTTTCAGAACAACGATAGCGTGGCCGGTTCGGTACTGTGGGCAGTGATACTACTTAGAATTTACTTCTTTTCATGATATTTTCGTACATCAAAAGAAAAACACCTGCGAGGTTTCGAGTATATATACTGTATCAATCAACAGAGAAGTGACAGTGCTGGACTATCAGAGTAAAACAAACAAAGCTTGTTGACAAATTTATTCATTTAACAGTAATTAATCACAATAGACAGCTTTGTCAGGCATTCGAGTCCGCGTATAGTCTGAAAAAAGAAAAGCAGTATCAGGGCAGTCAACACAACTCAATCAACTACGTTTGTAATCTTTTTCGAAAGTTTCACCACGTCCTCACCACGTGTATCGCACCCGATGCACTCACTAGTGCTAGAGGCTCCGCATGACAGTCTATCAGTACACTCGACACGGGCGTTGACTTGACTTGCCCGAGGTCGGGCCATGTGTCAGATGCAGAAGTCGATCCTTTCACGTTGGGACCAGGCTGCTTCGAAGCCCAATTGATCGCGATTGGCTGTTGTTCCAGGCTGCTTCGAACCACACCTCGCCGCGGTCGGCTGGTGACAATGCATCCATGATCAGTCTGAACGTCGAGCAGCCCAGTGCACCCATCAACACGGCAATTTACCTACCGTTATCACCTACGACTTACACTCTCACACATATCTCACTTTTAACTATGCACACAAACAACAAAGGACACGAACCTTCACTAGTTCACTGCACTTTCCCTGACAAGACTGCCGCTGCCATTTTGACAGTCAGTTGGCTTGGAATGGCTTGGCTACTTGACTATCTAGAATGGTGCCGCATAGTCAATGGTTTCCAGCTGCTAGTTTTTAACTACGCGCTACAGCGACGTATAATGACAAATTTAGGGCTGTGACATTTAAGAACACACTGTTCCAAATGGACATTTCACAATGCAAGGTTCGATACCTAAGTTAATTGATTACGTGTTTCTCATTAAGTGCGACGCATAATTTGAAAATTTTCCGCAAAAAAAAAATGAGGCGAAAATATACAATAACTTTATGACTGTAAGAAACAAACGTGTGGAGAAAGTTTTCACGTATGAAATGCATCTACTTGGTGCGCAAAAGCCTTCAGGAATTATATCTAAGTGCTCAGTGCAATGCTTTTGTCATCCCCAAAAGATCCTTAACAGGACCTTTTCCAGACCAAATGTTGTCCTCAGAAGGCACTCGAAAAGACGTTTCCAGGGCAAACCAGCTTGTGTCGTCCTCAGTAAGTACTAAGGTCAATGAGAACTTTGCCAGGACGATTGTACCATATGAGGACGACCTCAGGACATCGAGTGTTGTCTGGGTGGTTTTCGTACCACACGAGCGCAGTATCCGTAAGGCAAAAGACCGTATTACTGAGCTTAGCGGCGGCATCCTAGCCGTTGGACTTGCTGACTCGCTTGGACTGGACGAGCCACGCATCGACATCCTCTCCCGATTTTCCTCCAAAGATTGGCGGGACTCGGTAGTAGGGCACGGAACCCATTGGAGTTGGCCTTGAAGCGTTAGATGGCTGATCTTGGGCCATTACGATCGGCGCAGCGGGAGTCCGGCAAGGTGGCGGCTGCGGCGTAGTCCAGGTAGTGAAGCTCCCGTCGTTGGGCTTGTCTTACCCAGCACGCTTCCACCAATCTGTTACGCACAAGGAGGACCAAGACGTATACGGCTGAAGGGGGCCGTTTATTTTGGTCGCGAAGAGAAGCGCCGGAGCGGCCAACAGGTTGATGATCGCAGTGTCGTCGTCTTTTTTCTTCCTCCAGCTTGGGCAGCCAGCATGTTCAGCCACCTTCGTTTTCTTCCAAGGCATGCGTAACTTTTAATATGGAACTAACGTAGAATGTACACTGACATATTAAAGCCACTTGATCTCTAAGTGGGCACTATCAGAAAAGAACATGTTCCCCACATCTTGGTAGTGGCAAAAGCTGGCTTCATTTCTGCTGGCAAGGCAATGCGGGAGCTTCCACTCCAGCAATTTTTTTAATCCTTCTTGGTGCCCACTAAACACTCGAGTAACCATAGCAAATGAGACGAGCATTAAAAGTGATAGCCCTAACGATAAACCATTCCTGTGGTGAAGGCCTTTCACGATCACGTGAAACAATGATTCACCGACATTTACGGACGATATCAAAGAAAAATTATCAAACACTTGTTTTCTTTGTTATATACAACCCCATGAAACCATTAGACAAATGAAGACAAGGATTATTCAAGCGGAAGTATTGGCAGTGCAGACTTACTGGAAGTAGAGCACAGAAACAAGCGCACTGAGTGCTTTCAATCCTTCTGCCAAGGTAGGTGTTGGTAAGAGCTGTATGATGTATATTCTATAATATTTTCAAAGAGATACTGTCATATGTGTACATACCTGTTTCTTTTCTTTTAAAGTTCTTTTTTCCTCTCACAAACCGGAGAAAGTTTTCATCTTCCTGTAGCGATGCATAAATATGTTATTTGAAGTGCAGCAATCCGTGCATGACAGACAACTCACAGCTGCCGCCACTTCCTGTGTGACGTAGCCCATAGTCACGCACCTTTTGGGCATTTAACCGCGTCTCCTAAGAAAATTGCAAATTGTCTCGAATAAAGCTGAATGAAATGAAGTGAGATCATGCCATCTATGCTTTATTTGGCTTCATTTGATTTATATGTGTGGTTTAACGTCCCAAAACCACCATATAATTATGAGAGACACCGTAGTGGAGGGCTCCAGAAATTTCGACCACCTGGGGTTCTTTAATGTGCAACCAAATCTGAGCACACGGGCGTACAAAATTTCCGCCTCCATCGGAAATGCAGCCGTCGCAGCCGGGATTCGATCCCGCGACCTGCAGGTAAGCAGCCAAGTACCTTAGCCACTAGCCCACCGCGGCGGGGCATGGAAAAGTTTAGTGAATTTGAGTCCGAGGGAGTCCGGTTGAGGAACATTTATGTTAGTTAGAGTGAGCCGCCAGTGCAAAATATATATTTTTTGAGTGAATCTGAGGGAGCTTCAATTTCGTTGCTGACCTATGCGCAAAGGCGAAGGTGTGGTGTAGCTTTTGGCATGCCCATGCTACACTCAATACTAGATCATTTTTTTTAGCCGCACCGAAAAGTCTGTTAAAAAGAACTTGTCAAAGAAAGCCATCCCTAAAACTGTTCAGCACCCCTCCTTGAATTGTTTTAGAAAAAGTAAAAAAAAACAACTAAAAACAGGTGTTACAAAAAGTATTTACGGTACGTACTTAAAATGACAGAGAGCCCGCAGAAGCAGCAGATCATAATCCGTATGATGACGATGGTCTTGCCGTTGAAGAGCGGATACATCCAATAGGTTATGATTGTTTGCATCACCTAGAAAATAAAGACATCATCGTTTTCATGATCATAGTAATACAACATGTATTAGTCATGTTATAAAATAACGTAAATCAATACTAAAGTAATCAAACATACCACTTCAAATGCTGTTCCCTTTTCATAAATTCTTTTCAGTGATTGGGGAGTGCAAAGTTATAAAGATCTCAATTTTGGATAAACAGCGCTGCAACAAGGAAAAGAAGGAAGGGAAAGGAGTAGCGTTTGGTCCTGAGGCTTCCTTCTTTGTTCCGTTGTAGCGCTGTTTATTCGAGTTTAGTAAGTGCCAACAAGCACGCATTAAGACTTCATATCAGTAATAAACTATTCATACTAGTTTGGCTAACCCAATGAATCTACCCGGCAGATTGCATTATAACTATGGAACTCGCAATTAGAGCGAGGGACTTGATGAATTATGAAACTTAAATACTGACCGTAAACGCCAATGACGTTCACACAAGTGGCACAAAAAAAAAACATCAGCATAAATTGACGTCACTATGGCGCCATGTGACGTCACAAAATGACGTCAAAAAACATGGCATCGTCACACAATTATGGAGGCAGTGCACCAACACGTTAGGCGCCGATATGGAGGGGGGGGGGGCTAATTATGCATGTTCATGACACACGTAGTGCGCACTACAGACGTCAGCACGGACAGACAGCCGGATGGGACAGACAGCCGGATCCATGGGAGTGAAATAAGTAGAAGAATAAAAATGGAGAGGAGCACATTTTGCAAACCTTCTGAAGTCATGTCTTTTAATTTACCCTCAATCCTGAAGAGCAATGTATAATAATATCAAGGGTGTAACGTCCCAATACCACCATTTGATTATAATAAGAGGCGCCGTAGTGGAGGACCCCGTAAATCTAGATCAGCAGGGGTTCTTTCACTTGCATCTAAGTCTAAACACACAGGCGTCAAGCATTTTCACCTCCTACGAAAATGTGGCCGCCGTGGCAGAGATTCGATCATGCGAACTGCGGGATTATAACCACTAGACCACCATGGCCGGTACTCAACAGGAATGTATATAACAGCTGCATTTTACTGAACATAAACCTGAAGGCTGCCAAAAAAAGTTAAATTTAAATAGAAAATGACGCAGCGAGCAACGGAAAGGTAAATCATCGGCGTAGCGTCAAGAGACAGGAAGAGAGCAGAGTTTCTCAAAGAACCAACGGGCGTTAACGGCACCGTCGTTGAAATCAAGAAGAAATGAACATGGGCTGCGTAGGCAGGATAACCGCTCCCAAGAGATGGCAAACGCGCAAGGATAGAAAGTTTGGTGAGCACATCAGATTAAGAAGTTTGCGGGTACAACGTGGAAGGGAGAGGACCGAGTTCATTGGGAGAACATGGAAAAGGTTTTCGCTCAGCATTGGTTGTGGTAAGGCTGATGATGGTGATGTATCGGATGGAGAGAAAGTGCGAATATATGCGGTTATTGTCAGCACCCACAGACTGGCACCAAGTATACTGAAGTGATATGACACGGTTAAAATACGAGCCCTCCCAACCTTCTTATATTTATAATGTCGTGTCTCATCCTGTGAGCAGTGTATGTGCAAGATCAAAGCAGGATGCTCAATTGAGATATTTGGCTGTGGTTCATACTTAAACAAATTTTCTAGTGTACCAGCGCACATAGACGCGTACTCAGGCTTGCACGCATGTACGCAAGAAACACACACACACCCGTGCGCGCGCACACACACACACGCACACACTAACAAACACACACACGCATGCACACACACACTAACACACACACGCGCACGCACACGCACGTACAAACGCACAAACACACACAAGCGAACACACACGTAAACACACACACACATACACGCACGCACACTCGCACACACACGCACACACGCACTAACACACAAGCACGCACGCACAAACTCACACACACGCGTTCGTGCACACACAAACACACACACATGCACAAACACACGCACAAACACACGCACAAACACACACACACACGTAGGTGCACCCACTCACACGCACGCAAAAAAAACCAAGCTGGGATGATTAGTGCATTTGGACTTGGAATAAGTATACTGTGTGAAGAACAGGCAAGGAAAGGGACGAAAATGAGCAACCGGGTCAATCATTTCTGCCCATCTACACGTGGTTTACCCTTAAGCATGCAAGAACCTCCATTTACCTCTAACAACACGAGCAACCCTATGCAAACTTCATTTGTCGTATCGTTTTGCGGCACATGTGAGACACTCTAACACCGGCTTTTAGAGCGGTCACGCATTCGCAGAGCGAGCACTGCTTTTCAAGCAATGTTGACTTGAGTGCACGGTACTCGATGATTGCCTGTTCTCCGGAGGATGACCTGCTCGGCGTGACCAAGCTCATCGAGCCTTGTTAACTTTCTTAAACAAAATCGATTTGGCAACCCGTCTATAGATATTTCACGTGACACTTAGTTTTGTTTACGGCTGTGTTCTTTGTTTTGCTTTTTTTCCTCCGCTCTTTCCTTTCCTTTACGTTTCCCTTTCCTGAAGCAGCAGGCAGGCGTTATGCCAATTTAGGTGACAGTTGTCAGCCTGTCCCCGGCCAATGCCCTGTGCGTTATTCGGGTTTTTGCGTGTTGTAATGAAATGAAAATAATATTGCGCCATATAGGAACCCACGTATGAAAAAAGTGGGCCCAGTGCAGACGGACTGCCTATTTTCCTCTTGATGAGAAGGAAGAGGTCAACGTTATGAAACGAGTTCGACAAAGGTTAGCGACACTACTCTGGCAGACAGCATCGCTTAACGAGATGACATTAATGGCACACGCCTTCCGGCACTCCGCGATTGGCTTGTGTTGATTTCAAGTGTATATGCGTGCTTAGTCCGAATTCATCGAATTTGTGACGTACTCGTAGATACCATACTTCCAAGCCGATATGACGAAGATAACATCTCAGGTTTCATGAGCAAAATCCACGATATGATAATGAGGCTTGTCGTAGCGTCGTGCTTTGGAACTTTCGATCATCTGGTGTTAAATTCACTGACATCGAACAGAGCGTGGGCTTCTGGCATATCACCTCCATCGAAATGCGACCACCATGGCTGGGATCAAACCCGTGACCTTTGGGTAGTTGAGCACTGCAACCGCAACAAAACAGCAGTGACCATGATCAAGAAGACGAGAGGAGCACTAGTCCAGCTTTCTTTGTCCTTTTTTTTCGCTTTATGATCATAAACACCAATGAAGTGCATAGCTATATTCAATTGGCATTGTCCCCATGAGCACTTCTACACAAACATAGGCGCGTGCACGCATAGACAAATTCAAAATCTGTCGGCTTCCTCCGACAACAACACACCAAGGGAAAGCAGTACTACGGCAAAGCCTTACCTGATAACCCAGGAGTCCGTAGAAAAGGACGTTTGCGGCGACCGTGTGTACCGTCGGAACGTCCCCCACCTGGACCGAGACGTACGCAGAAGGCATGATGACTTTGCCAGAAGCACACAGCGCCAAAGTGAACCACTTAAAATTGTCTTGCCAAACTGGTTTGGTGATTTCCCTTTGCCAAATAACTACTATATATAGGCACATATTACCATGAGGAAGTATTCATGCGCCAAAAGGGTCAAGCATAAGAAACGCAGGGCACCAACCCCAAAAAAATGGCTGTGTCAGTTAGCTGCAATATCAAAGATGCTCGCAACTTGCTTACTGATAATGATATTGTTAAGATACGCAGGGTTAACTCTTTTCCTATGTCTCGGCTACTGGTGACCATCTCAAATGCATTGAAAAAAAATTTGCTGATTCGTTGCATGAAAGACTGGCAATTTCTGCAATATTTCATTAAGTATTTCAATAAGTATCTTGGTCACAATGGGGCCTTTCCAATTTCGCAGGATGTCGTCTGAAAGATGCTTGTCAGAAAACTTATCCCGAAAATATGGTTTTTCTTTTATAGCAAATTTAGTTTGCATAATAATCAAAGACATTTGTGCAAGTTGTTTGAAGCTGAATAATATCACTGCAGTATTTCGCACATTTAAGCCTCCGGAAGTTTGCCTAAATCTTCTACATTTTGATTTTTATGCCTGTAATATTGCATTATGTATGAATGTCAGGCTAATCAATATTTACTCTACCGTTCACAACCGTGGTGTATTTTACGTTTTAATTACTATCCAGCCACTGAAATTTTCACATGTCACGATAAAATCTTAACAAATTCCTAGAAACATTCATTTGGTCCACCATGAGATGCAATTTACATCACGTGGTGCTTCAATTAAAATCAATTTTGTATCTCAATATAAGCCATCAAATCGTTATTCTTATATGGCAAGTTTTATCGGCATAGTTCTTGGATCAAACAAGAACAACTCTCGAATTTTCCATTGACGGCTATGTTCAATTAGTTTAATCACATATACGATTTTTCAGTTCTTGCTGAAGGTGGTTTTGAGCTGGAGACAGTTAGGCGAGTCAGTTAGGCACCACCCACTTACCGGAAATGACGCAACCATGGCCATTCCTAGGAAGGCAACAAGACCAAGAATAGCGGCAGCACCGTTCATAGCGTCCATTTTCTTGCTACAACTGGCGTTGAAAGAACGTACGGTCTGGTACCGAACCAGGACGCACTTCAGCCCTGACGGATATACATTAAGATCATGGTCAGTATTAAAGATGAGATCCACGAAATCATGCGAAGCGTAGAAAGAAAAATACGTTGGTCATCCAAAAGTTCAGAGGGATAACAAACAAAGCTTTATGGTTGACTCTAAATTCGCCGTGGCCTGGCATTCCATTCGGGGAACAACGACTTTGCGGGGTGGTCGCTATACCATGCAAGCTATTCAGGTGGTCGCCAGATCGTATTCCACTGAGTGCCGTATCAGTGCTGCGGAAAGCCAAAAGATGGGGGTGCAGCGACAGAGTAAGAAACATTCTTTTTTTTTTTATTAGAAAAAGAAGGGGGGGGGGGGGTTCACGCCTCTTTACGTATGTTGGTGCATGTGTATGTGTATGCGCTTAAGTACTGTAGAAACTTGTTCATAAGTGTTTGGGGTTTGAAAGAACAATGGGAATTATAGTACAATCGGGGAAAACGTACATTACAACTTCATTAAGTCAGCGCATGGTTTAGTTCATTAACGATATCGCGAACGTTGGCACAGGCAAACCACACGAATTGGGAACATATCAACGAGATATACATGAACAAAATCAAGACATTTCGGTGGGGTTAAGGGGCGGGGTGAAGCAATTAACTTGTCAAACTACTACCTTTTTGGCAACACCAGTGTGGACAAAGCTAGCCTAAAGGAAGAAATGACATTATGTCATTTTTTGCATGGCCGTATAAATAACCATACTGTTTACTATTTGGTTGGATCGAGTGGTGCACCGATCACTCCGAAAAAGAGATAGTCTGGAGTTCGGAGCCAGGATATTAGACAAATTTTAAATGCGAATACGTGTCTTGGTCAGGCTATGTCAGACATCAGGTGTTGTCACCGGCAGGTGGTATCTCTTGGGTCTCCCTCCCTTTCCCATATCTATAGCTGCGGGAGCACGCGCTTATCCTCGCCCCTAGCAACCGGAGCATGTGCTTCGATAGAGTATAAAAGAGGGTAGGTGCAGTGCATCGCCGCTCCTTCTCTCGTCGTTAGCACTCTTTACTCCCTGCTCCCCTCTCTCCCGTCCGCTCGCGCCTTACTGAGCTCCATCGATTTACACGCGCTGGACGGCTCCGGACGGCCCCGGACGCCGGTGCCGCATTCGTTTTTCTCGGGGACCAACTGGAAGCTCCGTCCACTGATCCGGGATCAATTGGACGCATGTTCGTTTTTTGCGTGCCTGGCGGCGTGCGGGCGGCCCGAAACCGCCCGAACAATTTCTTTCGGGCCGCTGGCAGACGACAGCGTGGTGCGCATGCTGTGCGGCCATCTTAAGTTAGACAAGGGAAATTTGCGATGCGCTCTTGCTCTCTCTTTGCTTTTTTGTCCGCTTCTAGAATGTTTCTAGATTTCGCATCGTTAGCGCACTCAGGTTTTGTGATCGGTGTTCTGAGCCACGTCGAGCATGAGCGTATTCCCAAAGGTCGGGCAAACACGCCTTATACTCGCTAGGGGAAACAGCGGTGGAACGACCGCACCAGTCTACGATGCACACGCGAGTCCTCACGATTCCCTTCGGGGAGGGGGGTCATTTTTTAAAGACGATAGTCTTTCTTGGGGACATTCGAGGGAAAATTTTTGTCCTGTCTGTTTGTACATTTGTCTGTTTGTCCACCCTTAACTGCATCGGGTACTTGAAACGGCCGACCCCATCCGCAGCGCCCACCAATGTTGCTCAAGATTCGGCGTTCATACTTGTGCAATTGTCAATTAAAAAGCAATTATTGCGCATGTCTAGGGCACCATAACAACACGTATGTATTCTGCATGTGCGTCTTTTACTAGAAAAGACATAAGAAATTTTAAGGACCGTAGCTCTAATCACGCTGCGCTGACCATGCAACTCTTGCACGAAAAGGCGAGTGTTCGCAACGCTTTGCTAATACGAGACGGTGGTGGCACCTACCCATCGCCTTGCGTTCTATACCTTATCCCCTCTAAGACAGGTGCGCCCACCCGTCTCAGAGCCACGCGCTTCGTTTTCTGAGAAAACTGCCAAATGGCGCTCATGTCTCACGTGTGACGTGACTTGATGCGTTCGTTCGCCTCCATTGCACACTCGAGGCACTCTAGCCCAGCGCCCTCAGAATATTATTCACCAATTTTCTTGCGCAGAACGTCCAATAAATGTTTTGTTCACTCTCTCCACGCGCAAGATTATCGTCTTTCGACGACATTTCCAGAATACATGCAGATACGGGGCCATTTTATTTAATTTCAAAGTTTCTTTTTCAGAAATCAGTATGTGCCTCCTCTGTATCTTCGTGCTGTGAAATAGGTGTTGAGTGGGGGGGGGGGGGGACACTTTTAAGATTAGTGTTGTGCTGGATTCCATCGTCAGCATTTACACGTATACCAGCAAATAATTCGGAATCTCACGCGGAATCTGATGTTATTTCCTTGAACGACTAGAAGTGCTAGAGCCATCTTTTCCCTTCTTTTTCTTCTCCCTCGATGCTTTGAATTCGATCGCCTCTCGGCCCCTTGCGAACGCTTTTTATGTTTAACGAGATGTCGCACTAGTTAAGAAGCATTGAAAACTTTCTCTACATCTTCCGATCCTCCCCCGCCCAGCTCCCAAGGCCTTCTGCACCTAACGTTATGCTATCACTGCACTGCCTACAAGATCGAAGGCATTGATGCAAGCATTCTGTACCTTGCTTTGCTTTGCGCTCTCTCCGCGATCGGTTAACGGTTGCCCAAGTATAGATGCCACGTGATGAAGTTATGTGACATCACGTAGTGGCGATTTCTGCGCACTCCTCGCGTTGACACCACCGGGTCAGGACTCTGATGGCCAAACTTCCTGTTTGATGTTTCGTGTTAGTCATTCATAGGGACACTAAGTAGCAAAACGATTTTTCGCGCATTACTAAAGTACAATTTCACGTTTTCTTAAACTCCACTACTAGCCCGAGGCCACGCTTGGTAGGTGAGAAAACAAGGGAAAAAAAAAACGCTAGCGAGAACGCCACATCGAGTTTCCCGCACCAAACGCCATGATGTCATAGATTTTGAGAGTGCCTACTCAGTCCTGCGTAGATTCTAATGGGTAAAAATGAAGCACATTGTCATCTGTGGGTGCAATAGACCTGACAAATAAAGTTTCTGAAAATTTCATCAAGTCCATGCCCCAAACTGTGAAAAATACATTTCCAATTAAGGACGTCATGCGCGGAGATATTAGCCCGAAGTTTAAAGATGACACTTCAACCTTGATTTTTTTCCCCTAAAGATGAAATTATGACAGTGAAACTTATGTCATAAGAGTTTTCAGAGTACAATTTATTAGTGTGAACCAAGTGATCGTCTCGCTTGAGTATCCCTTTAAGGCCCAATATTTAACGCCTTTGAACGTTTCGAAGCGCTAGGATCGTACTGCATCATGCACAGATGGCATCGACTCACCGAACGTTGCTGCAACAAAAAGGCAGAGCGAGAAGAACCCACTCTGTGGCGGATCTGCACCGGTTTCGCTGCAACGGAGAACACGTTCATTTGTGTGTGGTCTGAGGTACAATAACATGAAGCTAGCAACACTGCTCGAACTCTAGGTCCTTAGAATAGAACATGTGATACCATAGAACACCCTCTCTGGATTTTTCATGGTGTATATGCATGCATATTACCCGAAAGAGGGTGATTTAGCAGCCAAAACTGCTTGGAAGATGGTTAGTTTGTTTCCGATTGCTGCACTATATTTTGAGAGAGAGTCTGAGCACTTTTTCAAGTCTTCTTGCGAAAAAAATAATTCAGGGTGAAAATCATAACATGTGTTCTGAAGCTTTAGCCAGAGACTGAATTTTGCGAAAGATGATATTTGTACATTGCGTTCGTGCTAAAGGGCACATTCCTGTAGTACGGGCATACACAGATTAATACACCGCTGAAATTTCTTCGAAAATGATCTCATTTTTATCTTAAAGAATATGCCGCTCAGCACTTTGCATGCTAATCGCGTTGCTATCTTGCAGTCTTAGTTTTTCCTGCCCTATGCGTCTTTGCATCCCCCTCTGATCTTTCACTCTTTTTCGTTATTTTTTTATTTTCTCCGCCCATTGTGACGTTCGAACGATTGGGGACGGTGGGTGTAAGTATCTGTGTACAAATTTATCACGGAAACGGAGCAATTAACTGAACCACAATGTATAAATTTCAGCTTTTCCAGCTCGGATAAAGGTGGGTCCCCTAGCTGTTGCAATGTCAGAATAAATGGTGCTATGCTATTCAGCACACTTCATGTTTATGTCTGCCTTCTACCCAATTCGACCAAATTCCGACAGCAACAACCGCAGCCGGGATTGATTTGTGGGGTTTAACGTCCCAAAACCATGGACCATATGATTATGAGAGACTCCGTAGTGGAGGGCTCCGGAAATTTTGACCACCTGGGGTCCTTTAACGTGCACCCAAATCTGAGCACACGGGCCTACGACATTTCCGCCTCCATCGGAAATGCAGCCGCCGCAGCCGGGATTTGAACCCGCGACCTGCGGGTCAGCAGCCGAGTACCTTAGCCACTAGACCACCGTGGCGGGGCAACCGAAACCGGGATTCAATCCCATGTTGAGGCCGTGTACCTATAGATTTTAAGTGATATAATAACATCTGGGGATTAGCGTCCTAAAGCTATGATATGAATATGAGGGGTGCCATAGTGGAGGTTTATTTGATTGATTGATGTGGGGTTTAACGTCCCAAAACCACCATATGATTATGAGAGACGCCGTAGTGGAGGGCTCCAGAAATTTCAACCACCTGGGGTTCTTTAATGTGCACCTAAATTTAAGTACACATGCATCAAACATACCCGCCTCCATGGAAAATGCAGCCGCCGCAGCCGGGATTCGAACCCGCGACCTTCGGGTCTGCAGTCGAGCACTATAGCCACTAGAACACTATGGTTGGACTATCCATTTAGGTGCCCATTAAGAACCCCAAGTGGTCGAAATTTCCGGAGCCCTCTATTACGGCATCCCTCAAGGATGTCATGTTAATGGGACGTTGAACCCCAACAATTATTGCCATTATTATCCGCTAGCATGAGGATTAAATAATGGAAAAATATGTTTGCTTGTAGATCCTGCAAGGGATGAGCCTTAGTGACGACATTTGTTGTTTAGTCTTAACCACACGGACGTGATAAACGTACTTGACTTTCATCAACCCCAGGTTGTGCGCCATATCAGTGAGAACAATAGATGCCAACATACATTTGAACGAGCAACCCCATTGCGTGCGTCACTTGCAGCGGTGACGCCAGTCTCGTGAGCGATATTCTATAATCAGTTGTGAACAATCTTTTCCCCCCTATGACCTGACAAAAGCAATGAACCGCAATCGTTAGCGTTGAGATCATCAAGCCGTATACTCTCTCCATGGTTTATCGTTTAAAGCTGTGCAGTTCAAGGAACACAGAGTACCCACAGACCACGCCTGCTGTGATCAAACTAAATGTGGTCATTCCTCCTTTTAATTACTCTTGTTCACCGTTCTCTATCCTAGTCATTAATCCCCCACTCCATGTGTGGGTAGACAACCGAGCCAAAGCTTGGTTAACCTCCCTGTCATTGCATTCCGTTTCTTTCTCTTTCTCTCTCTAAGATGATGTTGTAGTTTGATGATGATATTAACACAAACAAACCCACCTACAGCATAGCCAAAGAGAAGCGTCCTTTCTCTCTCTCTTTTTTCGTCAGTGTTGTCTACATAATTGTATATTGTTATGCCAGCGAGTCCTCGTCAAACGACCGTGCCTCTGAAAAAGGCAATCTGGGTCAAGGCCAGCCCGCAGTCTGCCTGGCGCGATCACCTCGACGGCGTGAACACGCGCGGCGCTCCTCTGGCCCACGTGCAGTGAGTCAGTTGCGCACGTGACAGCGAGCCGGCGTCCTCGTGTCAGGTGGTCTGACGCATGGCGCGGCGGCCCCCATTGGCGGAATCTGCCCGGACGACCCGCGGCGCTTCTGATTGGACACTTTGGTTGGACCCGGTGCAAATAAAAGAAGCCCTGCGGCGCGTCGCGATCGGCAGTCCTAGAGAGAGGAGTCCCCATGTCGGAGGGCCGACATGTGTGTGAGTCAGCGGTCTTAGGCGAAAGGCTGAACTATGTGTTAGAGAGAAGAGCTCGGCTCTTCGAGTCTCTGTCGGCCCCAGTGCCGAAACTGTAACGCCTCTGTATATATGCTGTACATAAACCTTGTTTAACTCACCGTCGTCTCGTCCGCTCGTCTTATCAGCTCTGCGCAGAAGCAGTCGCGAGCTGATAAACATACGCTACCAAACGGCTGGTGACCTTCCCGGCGGAGTTGAAAGCAGTGGCGCCTCCGGGGCCGTGTTGGCGTCGCCGTCTTTCGCAACATTGGTGGCTTCGGCGGGATCGGTCCGCCGTTTCTCAACAGTGGTTGGCAGCTGCGGGATCGGCCGGCGTCAGCGACATCGATGCGGTGAGTGCCTGATGTTTTCCCCTCAGTTCACCAGACTACTCTAGCTCAGGTTGTAGTAGTTTAGAGAAGGGCTGTGTGAAGCATTGAAGTGAGCTTTGATAGTTTCAAGCCAAGTCGAAGCGCTTTGAAACCAAAGTTAATGCGGAGGGGGTAAACACGGGAGTGTGAAAAATTGCTTGCGCGTCTTGCTAGTAGGCTTATAGTGGGTACGGCAAGTAGATTCTTAACAGGGGCAAACAGCAAGAGGCTAGTGTGAACGATGGAGAACCTTAAAGTGAAGGAACTCATCGAAATTTGTGAGGAACTCGGCATTACTTTGGGCCGTGCGAAACGAAAGCAAGCGATCCTTGAGATCATGAAGGATGAGGGAGTGTCGGCTGAGGAAGTCGATGAGGCCTGGGTGGATATCAAAGCACGCCGTGAGGAGGCTGAAAGGCGAGAAGTAGAAGCTCGCGAACGTGAGGAGGCTGAAAGGCGCGAAGCTCGCGAACGTGAAGAAAGGCGCGAAGCTCGCGAACGTGAAGAGGCTGAAAGGCGAGAAGCTCGCGAACGTGAAGAAGCTGAAAGGCGCGAACGTCGCGAGCGGGAGGAGGCCGAGAGACAGGAGCGCCTCGAGATGAAACGAATAGAATTGGCAATCCTACAGTGTTCGCAGGCGCCTAGCGCAGCTTCTCCGACGATTCAGGTCAGCAGTATTAGAATTCGGGATCAACTGCCACCGTTCGTAGTAGGCGAGGACATGGCGAAGTATCTCGTCAAGTTTGAACACGTCTGTGAGCGAAATGCTTTGGAGCGGTCTCTTTGGGCGCAGAACCTGTTAGCTCTTCTTCCCGGCGAAGTGTCCGACGCGATAACTTGCTTGTCGAGGGAAGCGTTTGAGAGCTATGACGAGGTTAAGGAAGTGCTCTTGAGACGTTATAAGTTGTCACCCGAGGCTTTCAGACAAAGGTTCCGGTATGCTGAAAAGGGGAATGAGTCACACGTTGACTTCGCGTTTCGTCTTAAAGCCGATTTAATTGAATGGCTCAAGGGCGAAGGTGTTTATGATGATAGCGATAAAGTGGTGGAATGCGTTGCATTGGAGCAATTCTACCGCTGCATCGAGGAGGATGTTAAACTTTGGCTGCAGGACAAACTTGGTGAAGTACAGCTAAACAAGGCAGCAGAGTTAGCTGAGGAGTATTATACTCGCCGAAAGTTGCATAGCAGGGCAGTGCGCGTTGAAAAGGATGAAAGGAAAGAGGGCTTTTCAAGGAAACCTGATCAACGGAAACCCGTTCCGCACCGTAATTTCAAAAAGGACCCGTCTCTTACGAAGGACAGTGTAGGGGAAGGGCAAACAGAAGCGGAGAGATCGAGTGAGGTTTCTACCACACAGGCATTTGAATCGGAAAACAAACGGAAGCCGCTAATCTGCTACAACTGCAAAAAGGAAGGACACATCGCGAGAAACTGTCAGGAAAAATTTGCCTTCGCAACAATCCGAGAATCAGAAAAAAACATGCGGTTATTGGAGCCGTATCTCCAAGAAATTAGGGTGAATGAGAAAACGTGCCGAGCACTTAGAGACTCAGCGGCAACCATGGACGTTGTCCATCCTTCATTGGTGTCTCCGGATGACTTTACAGGAGAATGCGCGTGGATCAGGCAGGTCGCCGAGGAGCAGAGTGTTCGCTTACCAATCGCCACGGTTGTCATTGAAGGCCCGTTCGGTAAGCTTCGCACCGAAGCGGCTGTGTCTGCCGCGCTGAACGATCGTTTTCCTTATCTCTTCTCCAACAACTCAGAGCAGCTTCTCAAAGAGCAGGGCAAATCGTTCTTCCCCAACTTAGCGTGCATGGCTCCCACGCGATCGCAAGCGCGAAAGCTTTCGCGGAAGCTTGACTTGGTTCCATGCGGTGAACTCTCAAGTGACCTTGTCGGCGGGTCGACGGAACCCCAGAAAGGAAATTTTCCGCATGAGTCATGTGAGCAGTCACGCGAGCGGCCCGTCGCGGGAGCGGCCGGCGCGGTATGCGCTGGGGGAGACG